TATACTTAACCACCACCCTTTACCTCCTCATAGAGCATTTCCAAAACACTTTAAAGTGTTTTTCCCCTAACTTGACATCTTTCTCCTAAAAAACAATATTTAATTGATATTATCTTTGTTTTATCTCTCTTTTCTAAAGACATAACATCATCCCGTTTGTATCATCTTACCACTTGAGTGATTTTTAATCTTACCCTCTTCTTGAGTCCAAAGAGAAAGATTTGGTTTCTTTGACCCTTCTATAAATCCAGAACATCTTTTATCTTTTGTTGTGTTGCTTCATACACAAAACCCTTGACAACACCCAGCACCTCCTTTATCCATGCGTGGTTTGCCAACGTATGTTTATGAGGCAGTAAAAGCATTTTTTAGGAAGTGCCAGTGACCTATAATTATACTTCTCTTTCTTCCCTGGAGTATTTGCCTTTTATGACCTTGATTTTCATCTGAAGGCGTTTTTAGTATTTGTATCTTTAGTGTGTTCTCAAATTTGTCCATTTTAAGAAAAGTATGTTCAAAATGCATTTGGTCTCTCTGAATCTTCTTTTTGTATTCCTTTTTTTTCCTGGCAGCGGAAGTGTGCTGTGATCATTCTTTTCCTTCGTTTTTGTTTCATTTTTTTCAAATCATTACATATTTTCTACTCTGTCCTTTGTCCTCTCCTCGGAGTTTCTTCCATTCCTCACTTACTTTTGTGCTCCTTCTTTCTTACTTGTCCCGGGCCTTCCCTTGTTCTGTAACAGTCTTCCAGTGTCCTTTGTTTTTCTTTTTCTACGTAGGTGACCTAACGTCCCATTTTTCTCTTTTTCTCTCTCTGTCCCCTTGCTCATTTTCTTTGGCTTATGCATATCTGCTCTGCTTTCTTTTCCCTTTGCATGTTACATCTTGGTCAGCATTTTTCTTTCCTACCACTGTTAACAGACAATGTCTATCCTTGTGGGTGAGTCAAGAAAAATAAGGGAAGAAAAATAGGAAGAAAGCTTCATCTCATACTTCAATTTAAAAAAAAAGGAAAGCTTCATTTCAACAACTCCATTTTTCTTAGTTCTTGTATCCTTCTATGTTTTTAATGATTGTGTCTAATTATTTCAGATAATAGTTTTGAATTCATATTCATAAGATGAGAAATTACCTAGGAAATTGAGTCGAGCACACACACGTTTGTGCTCTAGGGAAAATAAAAAGAAATTACAAATGTACTCCTTGAAGAAAGTCTTTCCCTTTTTCTATTAGGAGGATACTGGGGACAAAACTTTTTTTTAAATGTTGAAATGATAATCTTCGTTCTTTGCTTTCTGCATCTTCTAGGATTATGCCTAAGATTCTAGTGCATTTTAGGGAAGGCCTTGTCTGCTACCAGCTCAGATTCTGTCCCAGCAAAGTCTACTGGGATTTTGTTATTTTCAACATTGTTCAAGAATAAATTGGCTATAAATCGAGGCTGGCAGACATTTATATTATTGCCATTTTCATTCTGAAAGTGGGTGGAAGAGGAGTGGTTGTCCTTCCCCAATTTGAAGCTTTTTCAAGCTGGTTTAAATGCTGTGAAGGGATGAAGCCCAGGCTCTCATTTGTTGTTGTCACTGCCATCAGCAGCCTTGGCTGCATGGACTCCAGGTATCTTACTAATACTTGTATCTCATGCTTCTTCTCTGTTCCCTCTACACCTAGCACATGTGCTAGAAATAAAGTTGGTGCTCTCGTGATAAATAATTTAAAAAAGCCCCAAGTCCAATGTAAGTCCCAAAGTGGAAATAGCATCTTTTTTGGAAGAATGTAGGAATAGATGGACAGAATGCCCTTTGCTCATTCAGTGCTTGAGAGGAAAACAAAATAACATTATTCACAATAACAGCAATACTAACAATGATAAAAACAGGCATCTATTAAATGTCTACTTAACTGATATTTTTAAAGGATTCATCAGTAATATTAGCTGTAACAGTAATAATGATAAAAATTATGTGTTGAGTATCTGCTATTAAAAAGCAGGTTTTGTGCTCAGCTCTTTATATGCATTTCTTTCTTAATCTTTATAAAAATCTGAGGGGGTTTTCATGACAAAACTGGCTATAGCTTAGTAACTTGCCTAAGGTCACGTAGCTGGTGTATTTGAGATAACTTAGATAGGCATAGATAGGAAATTTTAGGGACTAAATTTCTCAATTCTTCAGTATTATTCATCACCTGCTATTGAATATTTTATGTCAAACATGACAAGATGTCTTTCTTCCTTTGCAAAAACTGTAGGATATTAATAATCCCAATTTTGTCAGACATTTTAATAACTGAATAAAACAAAATTTTGGAATTATCTGAGAAAGAAAAAAAAGACAGCCAGTCATGAACATACTGTACAGATTCTTCCTCATCTTCCCCCCACTCCCCAATCTCCTTAATTAACACAGGCACACAAATCAAGCAGAAGAGACTGCTTCTCCCAGTTGTTTGAAATTTAATATGTGACCCTTTAGATGAAAAATTTGTGTTCTAGGACTTTAGATGCTTTAAATTCTATTATTTGGTTACATTTTAACTTACCATAATGTATCATCTAAGAAAGTAATAGCTACACTCTTGCTAGTGGGCAATAATAAGTTAGGAATTCTACAGAAGCCATGTAGCCCTGTAGAGGATGAAGAAAGCAAACAAATCAGGAAAGCATAATCAATTTTCTGTACCACAAAAGGCTAGTGTTATTCTAATAAATAAGGATTCCTTTCTATTACTTAGCATGCTGTAAGTACTGTGATTCACTCGGTCTGCTTTTGTTGTTCATTCTAAAGTGGATTGCCATTAGAACTTGGGCAAAATAATAACAGTTTTAAGTTGATTTTCATTAAAGTGATTAAACTTCATCACTTCTTGTTAATGCAACAAGCCGAGCCATAAATAGGGAGAAAGGCCACAAACTCAAACTTTTCAATTCAAAATAACGTAACATTAGCATCTTCTGTACCAAGGAATACGCAGATACAATGCATGAGATTAATCATTTCTGACTAACAAAACAAGAAATTTAGGGGAAAACAGTTTTATTCCTTACTAGTTGCAGAGCTATAAGAACATTATTTAAAATAGCAACAGTTATGCTATTATCAGCTTATACTTTGGGTAGATTACGAGAAACCTCAGAAAAATGCACTCTTTAAATGCTTTAATGTAGGACAAATTACATCACTTGGAGAAGTTAAGATAATTCTAGAATTTATCACTGCTTACTCCATAAAGTAAGACAGAGGATGCACTTTTGTGTTGAAGTATACATTATATCTGAAATACACGTTCTATCTGCTTGAGGGGTATGTTGCTTCTGTAGAGAGAGGAGGAAGAACAAGGATGAAAATATATCAGGATGATAGCTAATGTTCCTAAGGTGAATAGCCTCTAAGTGAGGTGATTGTTGCCAACTAGAAATTGATGTTCCCCTGGACTTTGTGGCATAGGCTCTAGTGTAGAGACAATTGTTAGTGTATGTGATTTGTTTTCAAATAATTTTGTTCTAGGTTTCTGAATTTCCAGTTAAAACTTGACATGAAGTGATAGAGATTAAATTGCTCTTATTATCATTGATGCAAATTTCAAACTTTATGTAAAGAAGAAATACCTATAATGCACAGTAATATTGAGAAATCTACCCTAAAGCTTCCTTTCTAATCTAGCCTTTCCAAAATAAACACAAAAATATCAAGAGGCTCCTATTTAATAACTACACCACCACCACTACCAACATGTGCACTTCACAGTTTTTAAAAATGATTCTACAGTAACTAAGAGTTACCTGAAATTGCGTTCATTTCAATGAGTAGTACATACTGTCTATTGAATAGATGAAATGGAAAGACTTCAAAGGCACACATAGACTTGTGCTCTACATGCAGAGAAATGTTAGACACATACTCTGTCAATTACTAGTAATAGTGACGATGGTAAGTAACACTGTGTTTGTAAATGATTGCTTGAAACACATGACATTTATGCAAGTTTTTGTGATTCACTCACTTAAAGATACTAATTATTCTTCCAAGGAGCTACCATTGTCCAAATTTGTTTAACTGATTTAACTTTAGGTATCTTCTCCATAAATTGCTTTTAACTCACTTAAATGGAACAACATCTCACAGTTTCTAAAATATGTTACTTCTTTTGGGGAGCCTAGAGAAAAAATCTAGGGTGGGGAAAGTCTTACCTAATTTCAGAGAAAGAAAAATAGAATATCCTGTACTTAAAAAAAATGACCTTTTTTGAGCAGTTTTAGGTTCACAGCAAAATCGTGTAGAAGGTAGATTTCCCATATACCCTTCCACGCCCACACCTGCGTAGCCTCCCCCATTGTCAATGTCCCCATCCTAGTGGTACACTTGCTACAAGTGATGAATTACATTGACACATTATAATTGCCTTAAAAAACCCCATAGCTTACATTGGGGTTCACTCTTGGTATTGTGCATTCTATGAATTTGGACGAATTATAATAATGAGTGTCCACCATTATAGTAGTATCACACAGAGTATTGTCACTGCCCTAAAAACCCTCTGTGCTTTCACAGTTCATCCTCCCTCCCCACAGTCCCTGGCAACCTTTGATCTTTACCACCATCATCGTTTTGTCTTTTTCAGCGTATAATATAGGAATCATACAGCATGTAGCTTTTTCACACTGGCTTCTTTCACTTAGTAATATGCATTTAAGTTGCTTCCATGTCATTTCATGGCTTGATAGCTCATTCCTTTTCAGTGCTTAGTACTGTATTCCATTGCCTGGCTGCTTCACGGTTTATTTATTCACTCACCTGCTAAAGAACATCTCTCTTGCTTCCAGCTTTTGGCCATAGTGAATAAAGCTGCTGTAAACATCTGTGTGTATATAAATTTTCTACTTTGTTGAGCAAATACCAAATAGTATGATTGCTGGATTGTATGGTAAGAGTATATTCAGTTTTATAAGAAAATGCCAAACTGCCTTCTAAAGTAGCTGTACCATTTTTCTTTCCCACCAGCAATGAATGAGAATTCTTGTTCCTCTACACCTCTGTCAGCGTTTGCTGTTGCCAGTGTTCTGGATTTTGGCTGTTCTAACCGGTATGTAATGATATCTCATTGTTTGAATTTGCATTTCCCTGATGACACATGATGTGGAGCATCTTTTCGTACATTCATTTGCTGTCATGTATCTTTTTTGATCAGATGTCTGTGATGGTTTTTGGCCCATGTTTGAATCAGGTTGTTTGCTTTCTCATTGTGGGGTTTTAAAAGTTCTTCGTATATTTTGGGTAAGAGTCTTCATCAGATGTGTCTTTGGCAAATATTTTCTCCCAGTCTATTGCTTGTCTTTTAATTCTCTTGTCAGTGGCTTTTGCAGAGAAATGGGATATTTTGCTTTTAATCATTAAGTCCCCAAAAGGCATAGTTTCTCTAATCTTTTCATGGCTAAGCTTGAGTTCACTTTTCATTTCTTCTTGCTGTCTCGAGTTTGTTTTGGAAAAAATAGAATGTTCTGTTTCACTTCATGCTAGTGAGGAGAGGGAGGGAGGGGAAAGGGAGTGGGAGGAAAAGGAGGGAGAGGAGGAGAGAGAGAGGAGAGACTAATTTAAGAAAAAGACCAGAAAACACATCAAAATATTAATAGTAATTCTAAATTCAGTTATGGGTAATTTAAAGTTTTCTTTTTTCTTTTTCTTTTTTGTATTTTTCTAAATTTCTACATAAATGTTACAGAGAGAAATTACTAAATCAAAGCATTCTTGGAAAACTTAAGACAGTTTAAAGCATCTTTTATCTAACACTTAGGGAGATAAAGTTTTTATATATCAGTACTATCCAGTAGAAATATAATACAAACAAACATGTAATTTTAAACTTTCCAGCAGCCGCATTAAAAAAGGTAATAAGAAACAGATAAAATCAGTTTTTTAAAAACTATAACTTAACTGAATATGCTAAAATACTATTTTAATATTTAATTTGTAAGCAATATAAATTTATTAATAAAATCTTTTACATCTCTTGTTTTTTGGTACATAGCAATTTATTATCTTAAAATCCTGATGAATCCAGATTTTAACCTGATACAGCTTGAACACCATCAGTCATGATAGAAACATACTTTTTTATATTACCTATAATTCTTAGAAAGATGCAAAAGATTTAAAATTATTCCAGCTTAGACTTTTTATGCTGTGAATTGATTTCTTTTTCAGATTTGAAGTCCTTTGAGACAAAACCATCTCAAAAATATTTATCAGGAAGGATGTCTTATTGTGTAACTCAACTAAAGCTACAGGAAAGTGTTCACAATTAAAAAAATTTTGAACCAGCTGATTTTTCTATCGTGATTAACTGCTGACTTCTTTGAGGACATTTCACTTTTGTAATTATCTCTTTAGTCATAATTCCCTTACAAAATTTTTATAACTAAAATAATTTCTTTTTACCATCTTACCATCTAAGATTGATTTGTTTTTGAAAAATCCTTCATTTGATATATTGCCAAAGTTGTAAGCTCAAATCTTGTTTTAAAAACGTTCAAAAACTTTTTACATTTAATTCGGATTTCAAACACTAATTTAATTGGTTCTATGACTTTTGAGAAAAATCTTACCAAATTACTTACGTTTTTTGATGGAAAAAGTATCTTAATATTGTCTAAATTATTACCTTTATTTTTTATACAACAACTTTCTTCCTTTTATTCTGACAGTAAATTATAGTTGTCACTCATTGTGAACTTGCAACATATTTTATTCTAGTCTCTTTTTTATTATTCCTGCTGTTGTACCAGCTTCTAAATCTTCACTTAATTATGCAACAATAATAAACCTATGTTTTAAGTTTAAAGATAGGTTCTTTCTTATTTTTAAACTATAAACATAATTATATTCAAGTTACAATTAAAATGAATACTTCAACTTAATTATCAACTCAGTTTACATAATATCACTTTAACTTCTGGTGACTGTAGACAAAATTCAGATAAACACATTATAATATTACAGTGCTGCATAGAAAACTACTGTTTAAATTGAATCAATCCATTGACATCAACTAGAACAGTGATGTGTTTATGTGTAGTATGGGAAACAGTGTACTTTCCCAGTGTGTGAACTATAATACCGCCCTATTCTATATAAAGATTAAAGTGAGATGTAGTCCTACAAAGACAGTTTTCAGTTTTAAAATTTAAACTATATTAATTGAGATAGAAAATTAAAAGTTCATTTTCTCAGTTATACCACTTACCTTTCAGCTGTTCAAGAGTTACATGTGGCTAGAAGCACATTGTATAGACAAGAGCATTTTTTTTTAGAAAATTGAAGTTTATTCATTTAAATATTGAGTTAAAGATATTTAGATTGAAATATATAAGTATTTTGCACAGTACCTGCTCTTATTAAGTCTTTTTGGTGATTTAGATCATTAATCTTTGAACTGTGTATAAATCATGGTACTGTGCATGTATTTGGGCATGCGGTGGTTTCCTATCCCTTTGGCAGAGTATGTTTACTGTGTATACTCATTGTCTCCCCAAACTACAAGAGTTCATCTGCTCTTAGTATAATTTTCCCATCTGTGAAATGGGGATAACAATACTATTAACTATCTTGTACTTAAATGATATACTGAATATAAGCCCCTTAGAACAATACCTGACACAGAAAATAGCCAATGAATATTATGTATTTTTAAATTATAGTAAATCAACGATACGCCAATAAAAATAAACTTGAAAAAAATTACAGTATTCATTATTACTATTGAATGTTTTTCTTAACACTCAAAGGCAACACACCCAAAGGCAACAGTCAAAATGCCTCTTGTTTCTAGTTCAGTTACTTCTAATATCTTTACTTTCTTTTCTGTTTCTCTTTTTCAAATCAGTTCTAATTGTCCTTTGAATAAAATTATCTAATTCTGAGCAAAGAACTAAAGATTAGTTTCATAATCAAAGAACTTGTGGTTTAGAAAGTATTTGACTTGGTACTCAGTTTTAAATATGTTTTCAGATATCTCAGATTACTCGCTAAGTGCTTTTAGATAGATAAAACATAGTTGTTTTCTGATACTCCAGCATAGCTAGTAAATGATTTGTTTCCTATACAGGAATATTCACTAGTTTATCATGTATATAATAGAAAAACAAACTTGAAAATAACTGAAATGTCCAAAGATAAGAAATTGGTAAATGAATACTAACGCACAGTGTTCAAAAATTGGCATACTAAGAGGGCCTTGGTATGTTTATAGATTTATATTTGTTGATAGAGGAAGGTGTGCCTGATGTATTTAATGAATGATACAGATTAAAAATAATATATACAGTATGATCTAATCTGTAATACAGACAGATGTGTAGAAAAATTTGAGAGGCTATATACCAAAGTGTCAACAGAGTTATTTGTGCATGGAGGGATTAAAGCTGATTTTTCTTATTTCTAATTTTTATATTATGGCCATATATTGCTTATGTAATGAAATTATACATTAGTAAAGGGGGCATTTACAAAAAACTTCTGGAAAACTCTATTTTTCCTTGTCTTCTACAGTTTTCTTTAGAACTAGGTTTTCTAAAATGATTCAGGACTACTTTCAGATAAATTGCAGGAGAAAAATTTCTAATGGGACTTTAAAAATGCTGAGTCAGTAATTTGTGGATGATTGGGCAGTTGAGATTTGAAACAGGTGATTTTTAAAATGTGAAAATTTGCTGTCACTTGGTGTCTTTCACTGTATTCTGACTTTTAGCCACATAAACAATTTTGGTGTTTCTGGATAAATTTACTCTTGCAGTAAGTTAATGGATAACAAATACAGTTTGAGAAATCTCCTGAGAGCTTGAAAACTCAGAGAAATACTTTAAAATATTATTTAAAAAATTTTAGTTTAAATATGAGAGTAACTGATCATGTAGTATCATTTCAGTGGTCCTGAGAAATTTCTCTGCCTCTCAAGCTCTTTTGTGATTTCTTAAATCCTTCAGCAGAGGACAAAGCATTCTATTATACCTTGATTTAAAGCCTAGTAGTTTCAGACTAAATTAAACTAAGAGGCAAATGACTGACAGTAGATCCTTTTCTGGTTTTAACTATTAGGAGGGATACAGGAAGCTGAGAGTATAAAGGTCCATCAGCATTAGACTCCAACGTAGAAACGGGGTATGTGGGAAGATGGGAGGATGCCGATGCAAAACTCTCCCTAGTTCACATGTTTTCCTGGGTCCTCTCCAACATCTCTTCGAGCTTGGCACAGAAGGAGAAGTTTGGGAAAAAGTTTACATTATATTCTTTCATAAACCACCTATTTCAGTATGAAGTTTAGCAAACCACCAAACTAACAACTTTCCTGCCAACAACACAGAACACGCTTGGCGGATCAGTGTGTTTGAGCATGATGACCAGGGAAAGAGCTGCTATACACGTTCAGGCCCTTTTCCATGTAGGCAGTTCTGTGTGTCATTTGTTGAATCAGTTTCTCTGGAGTCCTGGCTATATGTGATTTTTGTAAAATTGAAGAACACATTTGAGGTAGGATGATAAGGTACCATCCTGAGGTTACAGGATTGGAGTGCAGGAGGATGCTGAACTGATTGCTCACTTGGTAAATGGAACACATTCAGCCTCCTGTGTAAGGCTCCACATGTGGCTTTTAAGTATGTAGCAAGTTCACAAATGCATGATCAGTTGTAGGTCGTTAGAACTGAGAAATACTAGGAACATTACCTTAATACTTGTTGCATGCTTTTGGCCAGGTTTATCCACAAGAGGCACGAACATTATAGGAGATACCTTTTGATTTTTCCTGTCTGTCACTCTTTACTCTGTCGTTGGTAACAGCACCCCGTCTTTCTTTTAGAAGTGTCTCCACCTCCATCTCATGGGTCATGATGGAATTGTCAGTGAGGTGTACTGATTTCCTATGCCCCTCAACCCCTGGTCCCACTGACCTGAGAACCCGTGTGACATCCAAGCTAGGCGAATTTGACTGCTGGAATTTTGAGTCTAGTGTAAATAGCTCAGCAATGGAACGAACTTGAAATTGAGTCATCCTGACGGCAGATCTTCAAAGATACTTCCTTTGACATTTGA